AGACAAAGCTTCATTACTTTGAGACGCAGAAAATGATTTATACAATTGGACATCATCAGCGTTCAAGTGCACCTGACAATGTCTTATAATCAACGGCAAATCAAATGTAAACATTGAAAACAATAGCGGCCCAAGAATACTTCCTTGAGGTACACCGCACACAGGTGTCTGAAATTGAGAATATTGGTCATTAATTTTCACTCTCTGCATACGTCCATGAAGATAACTGTAAAACCAGTTTGCTTATATCAACCCCCTTCTTTATATCCAACGTTGACCGCAACATGGAATATTGTGACCAAAGTGTTGATTTTATTTGCAATGTTTGAGAAATACACCATCAATACATCTTCTGAATACAGCCTAATGTTTTTTTCTTTGCACCAATCCATAAAACGTTGGTAGACACATTCATAGACACATTCATACATTTCTCCAGATTTCTTTGAGAGAAGATTCAAAGAAGCTCTTTTGCACACTCCAGTACATTCTCAGGTATACCTAAATCTTTATTAGATTCTATCTTTACAGAGTTTGAGAGCACATTGAACCACAAACAATCACAAATGAACTCAATTAGCAAAATAGCGACTAATGTTTGACAAAGTATCCATGACTATATAAGTACATCGATATATCCTATTTGCCTGGTTTGCTTTATTATTCCAATTTGATTTTAATAATTTCAAAGCACAAATTAATAATAATTAAATGGGGGATTTCAGTTGGAGAAAAAATATCGTGTTTTATTCGAATTAAAAGTGTATTTTTTGTCTTGCAATTTTGCATCGGCTTGGCTACGCTATGCTTCGCCTCGCAAATACAAAATCTGCTCATCACAAAAGAAACTCTTTTAACCCTAATATAACAATATACTATTACCTACTGNGTATATAATCGATTCAAATAATTTACTAAATACACACAACTTACTTATACCTCTATAATTATTAACGCAATTTTTATCTCCTGAATTTTTATATATAGGAATTAAATAAGCTCGTTTCCATGAAGTTGGAAATTCACCTATACTCCACGGTCGAAATTATAGAGAGTGATTCATCGCTAGCTTTTGGACTAGTAAGAGGGATGAAGCGTGCCGGGAACGAAAATCCATTGGCGTGTCTGCGTAAAAGGCAACAAGATATAGAAAATAATGAAAAAAGATATTAAAACATAACATCTAATATTTTTTAGGGTTTGGTTTGCTATAACAGGCAGTTTGATCTATTTTAATTATTACAGCATTTTAAAACGTCCCAATTGTGTTTTTTTTAATTTATAAATTTATTATAGCCATGGAATTAGACCCCTCGTCTACGCTTATGCTATGACGTTTCTCAGAATGGGTTAAATCAAGTCCGTTTACACCCACTTAAAAAGCATTTCCCTATTCCCTACCAAGTGCAAAAGACAGATATAGAATATAGAGCGACGTTCAGTGTAACTCGGTCTCTAGATGATTATAGATTCTATCGATGTACGTAGCGAGCGGAACAAAGATAAATAATATTGAACCGTATAAAAATCATTTTATATTTTATACGTATTATGGTAATAGTGTTTTTATATTATGTCTTAGTCACTCTTTATAATTTCGACCGCGGAGTATAGGTTAAGAGATTTATTAAATATTAATGACAGAGGTACATGCAAAGCTGGGGCACAGTTTTTTACAAAATAAGCAGGTAAGCCATCAACTCTAGCTCCTTTATTTGGATATATGAACCAATTTATTTGATATCAAATACTCTGTTATTTGTACTAAAGACATACTGTTACCTCCATTCATATTTGTGCAATTAAATATTTGGAGTGGTTTTTGTACATATGGTTCATAAACACTTTGAAAGTAAGATGAGAAAAGGTTACATACATCAGGACCATTATGAGCATATACTCCAGTAGTCATTCTGTCCAAAAATAAAGCGAAGAAAAGAAAGTGAACCGGGAAAGCCAAATTTTTTTATATGTTGTGGAGGGTGCTTAGAAAAGCTTAACTTGAGATTTGAGACCAAGATTTCCTATGTGCATTTTCCGGCATCTTGGAAAAAGGGGTAAATTTTTGTTTTTGCTATAACTCGGTTCTCCGTCGAGATACAGAATTGTTGTTTTGTTCTTTTTTGTTAATCTTTCGACGATCTATAATTTAGGTTCTATAAACTTTTTACCTATTATTGTTAGTTGTTGAGATATCGAACAAAATAGATAAAAATTCAAAGATTCGATCTGGTTTTTCGGGGTTTTCTTTTTTTCCTTAATACTTATCGAAAACATGTCTATTATAAAAGTTGTAGGGGGTGTTTGTACGAACAATATGGTGTCTTTGTTTTTTCTCTAGGGTGATAATTGCGTGTTCTATCGCGCCGCGAAGTCGGCAAGTCCGTGCGAAGTTTCGATTTTTCCGTTCACGCGCCGCCATCTTGAAGAAAGCGGTAAATTATGGTTTTCGCGATAACTCGGTTCACCGTAGAGATAGAGATTTGTTATTTTGTTATTTTTTGTTTCTCTTTCGACGATCTACAATTTAAGTCCTATAAATTTTTTACCTAACATTGTTACTTGTTGATATATAACAAAATAGATAAAAATTTAAAGATTCGATCGGGTTTTTCGGAGGTTTCTCTTTTTGCTTAATACTTATCGAAAAAATGTATATTATCAAACTTGTAGAGGATATTCGTACGAATAATTTAATACTCTTCTCTTGTTCTTTCTCTAGGGTAACAATTGCGGGTTCTATCGTGTCGCGAAGTCGGCAAGTCTGTGCGAAGTTTTTATTTTATGGCTCGCGCGGTTTCATAGGTACGTTGTAATGGATTCGAAATAAAGAACTAACACACACACATATGGAATTTATTATACAAGAATGTTTTCGTGTTGAAGAACTATCTACGTCTTCCTTCTCTGCGACGGCCCTGGTTCACAGTCCCTCTGTTGAGGATACTTTTCGATACGTGGAGATTCTTCGACCATATTTTCTCCGACTGTTGAATCATCTTCGGAATCTAATTCGTTGTCATAGATCAGGACATCGACTTTGGCAACGTTCTTGCATGTTTGTCCACTGCAATTCCGGCAAATGATTGAACATGCAATGCCAGCTCTTCTGCACCCACAAGCAGTTCCGCATTTTTCCTTGCATTTGCAAGACATTAGCTTGAAAAGCTCGAGTGGCGCAGGTTCAGCCGTGTTAATAATCGGCTCTACACCATGGTCCGTTTGTCGTCAACCCCATTCCTTCGGATCCTTGTAAAACCCAAGCCAAGCTTGTACCTGATGATACGTGCGAACTATGTGTTGTCATGCTGCGCGTCTTGTTGATGGAAATGATGATGATGATGATGATGATGATGATGATGATGATGATGATGATGATGATGATGATGATGAAGATGATGATGATGATGATGATGATGATGATGATGATGATGATGATGATGATGATGATGATGATAGGTTGAATCTATTTCTGGTAATAGAATTTGCGTAGCGTTGATATCGTAGTGCATTGATGTTTTAGCTGTGCTTCTCACCGCTATATAGGGCAATGAGAAATCGTTCTCTCGTGGATGTCAGAACCTCCGGATCGACGTGTTTTCGTTTGAATAATTCAACCGATGATAGAAGTTCCGTATGTTTTTCCAATATGCTGATGAATTTCGATTTCGATGCTGAACAAAGATGAGGTGGTATCGCAACCACTGAATGCATGAATGAAAAATATGTTTTCGAGAACGGATTTGTTGTGGTACAATGGTACATACTACCCTCCAACGAGAGTAATGTGTTCCTGATGTATTTCCTTTTCCCGATTTTCGAAAGTATACGTTTCCTTTGTCCTTCGCTAGTCCAGTGAGCAAAATCAAGAGATCGATGTCTTCGCCGACAATTTCAACCGAATCGTACTTTGATGCTTCTGCGAGTGCGGTGGTTATGATCAGAGTGTCCGCATCTTCAAAGGCTTGTTCGACTCTGATTTCGGTTTGTGCGAAATGAAGGCGGAGCATTTTCATAAACTTATCTTTGTTTTTGTTCGATATCTCAACAACTAACAATAATAGATGAAAAGTTTATAGGACTTAAATTATTGTAGATCGTCGAAAGAGTGTTAAGACAACAAAACGACAATTCTGTATCTCGACGGGGAACCAAGTTATAGTAAAAACAAAAATTCTCCACATTTTCCAAGATGGCGGAAAATGCACATAAGAAATCTTTGTCTCAAATATCAAGTTAAGCTTTTCTAAGCACCCCCCACGACATAAAAAAATTGGCTTTCCTGGTTCACTTTCTTTTCCAAATGTACAGAATGACTGATGGACTAATAAACATCATTGAAATGCATAGAGTTGGATATGCCAAAATCTGTTCTAGAATTTGATATAAAATTCCAAATTTTTTTTTGGATAAGATTGAATATCATTTTCTATACTGTTATAATATAATATAATTTTTAAAATCTCTGTGTATCAGCTGTTTACTTTGACGTCTAAAAAGACTAAATTGAATATAATCGCTATGATTATTAATATTAAGTGATAAACCCTGTACTATATATACGGATAATATTTTTTCAGTAATTATAGAAATATCCAAATTTCTACAATGATTGATTATTTCTCAGGCCTGACGTTGAAACGTCCATACTCTCAGATAATTTAAGTCATGATTTATCATTACCGCAATCTATTTCAATAACAATAGGGTCTGACTGATACATTATACACTGACATCAACAAAAAGTGAGTAACGAAAATGCAACGCATATGCCTCACAATATATAAGCTGTTTATTAGACTAAGTGCAAGTTATGATGTGTCTCTGGATATTGCATACAAATTACAAACTCGGGGACGTGATCTAATATATTTCACCAACCTGCTGTGCTTTTAGTGTGTTCTAATGCATTTATATGGTGTTATTAGAATAACACACAGAATATAATATATGGTGTTATTAGAAAAATATAAACTAATATCAGATCGGCAGTATGGCTTTAGGGAAGGAAGGTCAACGGAGGATGCCATTTACAAATTGACATCATATATATATAATGCTATCGATAAGAAAAATCCTGCACTGTGCATCTTCGTTGATCTCTCTAAAGCATTCGATACAGTCAGCCACAAAATACTTCTTGAAAAACTAAAATATTATGGAATTAGAGGAAATGTACATAATTTAATAAAAAGCTACCTATGCAACCGAAAACAACAAGTAAATATTGGTGGGGTAAGAAGTAATCTAGAAACCGTTACCTATGGGGTTCCACAGGGAACGGTTTTGGGTCCTCTATTATTCACAATCTACATAAACGATTTACTTACCCTTAACGTAAATGGTTCCATTCTAAGTTTTGCTGATGATACTGCTGTGTGGTATGAATCAGAATCTTGGTCAGACCTAAAAATAAAAGCAGAAAAAGATTTCAGAAATATAAAAGCTTGGTTTGAGCAAAATAAACTTACCTTAAATGTAGAAAAAACCAAATTTCTTCCATTTACGTCCTATGCAGCACGTTTACCTCATATGGGTCCACTAATTATTGATCAGAATACAAATATACCTGAAGAAGAGTCTATAAAATATCTGGGTGTAATTATAGACAGACATGCACGGTGGAACCTACAAATAGCAAATATTGTAAAAAAAATCCGAGGATTATTACCTCGACTCAAATATTTAAGAGACTTCTTAGATACGTACCACTTAAAAATATTATATTATGCCTTAGTACAGTCACACTTGAATTATGGTATAATTGGTTGGGGTGGAGTATCTGATAGCCACCTACAAAATTTAAATATTATTCAAAAATGGATAATTAAATTGATATATAAAAAAACCATTACTTACCCTAGCGACCAGTTATTCAGAGAAAGCGGTTTAATGGATGTACGTCAATTATTTTGTTATAATATTTTAATAAAAAACTATAAAAAAAAATATTTAATTCCGCAATCGATAAATCACCCATATAGTACTAGAAACAGAGACAATTATGTTAATCCAAGGTCTGTAAAAACAATAGGACAAAGAAATTTTAACTATCTGGCTTCAAGGTTGTATAATATTTTACCAAATAATCTTAAAAATATAAATGTATATAGCTCTTTTAAGCATAAAGTAAAGCTATGGATTCATGAAAGAGGCAGAGAAATATTTCATAACATCATAAGTCAAAAAAATTAAGTTTAGTGTTTTATAGATATTTAAGTGTTGTAAAGAAGTGTTTTATATTATCTGTTGATAAATATATGTAGAAGTGTATTGTTCACTGTATAGTCACGCACAAGCGGTAGTAGCCGCTTCAGTGACTTACTAGTTTATTTACATAAGTTCTGTTATATCATTGTTTTGTAATTTTGATTTGTTTTATTCATGTTTTATACATGTTGTGATTTTATGTTGTAATGTATTTTGTTCTAAGTTTGTCATATACTTTTGTAAATAAACTTATTATTATTATTATTATTATTATTATTATTATTATTATTATTATTAATAAGAGTGTCAAATTTAAAATATTCTGACGTAAAAGCAAATATTTTCAAGAGAAGATCAGTTGAAAGAAAAACGCTTTTAATAAAAGTAGGTACAACAATTTCAATCAATACGAATGGTAGCACTGTCCGGATCATTGTTCATTGTAGGTATTTCACTGAAATATTTGCAAATTAAAAATCTATGTTGGTGTTATAGATAACTTCAAAAATTTGCTTCTTGGATAAAAAACTATGATGAATACGGGTCCAAAGACTCCGGTTTTGTAGGTATAGAATGTACAACTGAATTACATGAATATATTCCTTGAAATAATCCCTAGCTCATCTATCTACCTCCAGCATCTTCAAACGTATTTTAAACGTCTACATGACTGAAGTGAGTGCGCTAGTCCGCTCATGTGACAACCGCACGAATTGCACATAGGTACTATTTTTCATTATGAATGCAATAAAATTTTAAAGTCCAGGGGTGAAGCCACGGTGGGGTCTACATATTTTTATTCAGTTTAAGTTGACATAAATAACTGTCATTTAAATGTCACTTTTTTAAAATAATATTTTCGAGTGTGTAGGTATTTAAATTTTTATTACTCATGACGGAAACAATTGCAATAATTTAATGTTTTTAAATTTTTTTTTTAATTTTAAAATATGGTTTGAAAGTACTCAGAAAAACGAGTATTTAAAAAAAAAACATGATCCGCCCATTATTTTCGGAGTCCATTAAAGTTAACCATTATTTACATCAAAACTTGTTGAGAACAATATTGATATTCTCATATTTACTATTGTTACATTATCTAATATGTATAGAAATAAAAACAGTAGATGTTGCTAGGTAGGAGTTGTAAATAAAAATAAAAGAAGAAGTGATATATAGAAATTTATTGAACTGTTAAAATATAGTCTTGTAATTAAAAGGATAATAAAGAAGAGAGAAGGAAGCCTGAATGTTTATTTATAATAAAAATAACAGGGTTATGGGCCAAGAATAAAACGCAAGTAGCAGTGGAGGTTTTGAAATAATTCAAACAGTGAATAAAAGTTTTAAGAAAAAACAACGATATGTGGAGCAGAGAGAAACTCAACATTGTGCCCTTTGCTGGGGAAAATTTTGCGACATGGTCGTTTAGAATCAAAAGTATACTACGTGAAAGTAAAGTTATAAAAGCTATTGAAGATGAACAGTTCAACGAGAAAACAGAAAATGAATCTATAGAAGCAAGAGCTCAAGCAATAATAATAGGGGCAGTAGCAGATAGTCACTTGGAGTATTTAAAGGACAAAGAAACAGCATATGATATGTTTAAAAATTTGGAAGACAATTTCAAGAAAAGAGGTGTTCGAAGCAAATTATTTTTGAGAAGGAAATTAAGTGATATGAAATATAACGAGAAAGATGTACTACTGAATTTCTTTGTTCAACTAGAAGAAATATTTTCACAGTTAAAAGACGCGGATAGTGAACTGTCTGAAGAAGAAAAAATAAATTACGTTTTAATGTCAATGCCCAAATCATATGAAGCTATAGTTACAGCATTAGAGACAGTGGAAAATTTGAAATTAGATTTTGTCAAAAATAGACTACTAGGTGAAGAAGAAAAGCGAAAGAAATCAAAGGTAGACAGCACAAACGTTGATTGTACATTTTTGTGCTATTTTTGTGGGAAGCCAGGCCACAAAAAGTTCCAGTGTCATCAAAGAAAATTTTATCCTTCAAATCAGAACACTGACAGGTATGTCAGGCACTCAGGTGCAGGAACGAGTGGAGTTCAGAATAGAGGGTATGAGAGAAAATATTATCGAGGACGAGGAAGAGGACAACAATTTTATCAAGGCAGAGGTCATCAGTCATTTGTGGCAGATGGAGAGGAAAAATCAGTTTTTATATGTCAATCAACAAGTGAAGTAAATAAATGTCAAAGTGAAGAGCAAGAAAATGTGGAGTGGTGCATTGATTCAAGCTGTTCAGATCATCTGATTAACAACAAGGACCAGTTCAGCGAATACACCGAGTTACGGATCCCGAGAAAAATTTCAGCAGCAAAAAACGGAACAGTACTAGAAGCCATTGGAGTGGGAAATATGGAAGTTAGTTGTGTAATAAATAAGGTAGTAAAATTTAGTACGATAAAGAATGTCTATACTTATGTACCCGATTTAAGAAAAAATTTGTTATCTGTTTCAAGGATGGAAAATGCAGGTTTAAAGGTTGTTTTCAACAAAGGTTATGTAAAAGTATATAATAACGATAATTTAATAATGATTGGCAACAGCAATGGTTCATTATATTCAGTAAATATGAAAGTAGAAAAGATTATTAACTGTAATTATTCCATTTCTGACAGTAAAACTGATCTGTTACAATTATGGCATAAACGTCTTGGTCATTTAAGTATAAATAGTATTTGGGAGTTAGCGAAAAGTAATCTAGTAAATGGAATCGGAGATATAAAAAAAGTTAATGACAATGTTTTGTGCGAACCGTGTTTGATAGGTAAGATGACGAGAAAACCATTTAACAAACCGGGGTATAGGGCAACAAAACCATTAGAATTAGTTCATAGTGATGTATGTGGATCTATTAGTCCCACTACTTGGGACGGTTATAATTATTTCGTTACATTCATCGATGATTATACCCATTTTGTTATGGTTTATTTAATTAAAAATAAGTCTGATGTGTTTCAGCAATTCAAGCATTACTATAATTATGTTACTAAACATTTTAGTAGGAATTTGTTAAAGTTGAGGACCGATAACGGGGGTGAATATGTATCAAGAGAAATTCAAAAATTTTGTAAAGAAAAAGGCATAAGATTACAGTATACGGTGGCATATAATTCAGAGATGAACGGAGTGGCTGAACGAATGAACAGGACTTTAATGGATAAAGCTCGAACTATATTATTGGATTCCAATTTATCAAGAGAATTTTGGGGTAAAGCTATTTACTATTCAGCATATGTGACAAACAGAAGTCCCACAGTATCAAAGGCCAAGACACCTAGTGAACTATGGGAAGGAAAAATTCCAAATGTGGCACATTTAAGAGTTTTCGGTAGCACTGCTTATAATCATGTACCAAAGGAGCTAAGACACAAGCTTGATGCAAAAGGGAAAAAAATGGTGATGCTAGGATACTGTTCAGGAGGATATAAATTATGGGATGAAGAGAACCGTAAAATTGTTGCTGCTCGAAATGTAATATTTGATGAAAAAGACTACAAAAAGGAAGAGACTGTAAGTATGCCAATTATGCAGATAAATATGGAAGAAAATAAGAGTGAATTGGTTAATGAGAGACATATTGAAATTCAGGAAAAGAAAGAGGAGAATGCAGAAGAGGAAACGAGAGAAAAAAGAAATCGACAAAAACCAAAATGGCAAGATAATTATGAAATGGATTTTAATGACAATGATGAAGCAATGTTTGCATTATAAACATGTCAACAAAATGATATTCCGTTAACTTATGAAGATATAGATTTAAGGGACGATAAGAAATTGTGGAAAAAGGCAATAAATGAAGAGATAGAAGTATTACATGAAAGTCAAACTTGGGATGTTGTACCAGAAAAAGGTGACATATAGATACTTTAGAATGTAAATGGGTTTTTACAAGAAAAGAAATAGGAAGTAATAAGTTGTGTAAAGCAAGATTGGTAGTTTGAGGGTTCCAACAGCAAGGGAATTTTGATGATGTGTACTCACCTGTATTGAGGTTTCAAACTTTGAGGATACTACTGTCTGTTGCAGTTCAACGTGACTATTACATTCATCAGATGGACGTAAAAGGAGCCTTTTTGCATGGTAAGATTGATGAAGATGTATACTTAAAACCACCGGTGGGACTGAATGTCAGAGAAGGACATGTTTTGAAATTAAAAAAGTCATTGTATGGGCTAAAGAAATCGCCAAAGTATTGGTATGAGTGTTTTAGTAAGACTATTACAAGTTACGGTTTTAAGCGATCTGAGAATGATTTTTGCTTATATACGAAAGGTGATTTGTATTTATTGTTGTATGTTGATGACTTATTAATTTTAGGAAATAGTATACATGAAATAAATTCACTGAAAAAATTTCTATTTACTAAATTCAGAATGAAAGATATGGGTGATAAAGACTTGATGTATTTAGAATATTAATTTCGCGAAGTTCAGATTCCATTTATATAGACCAAACAAGATATTTGCATAGTATTTTGGAAAAATACGGTATGACAAATTGTAACAGTATTGATACTCCAATGGATGTTAACTTAAAATTAGATGAAACAGATACTGTTGATCAGTTGTGTGAAAGAAAATGTAGATCTTTGATAGGTTCATTGATGTATGCAACAATGGGGACAAGACCTGACTTAGCCACCTCAGTTTGTTATCTAAGTAGGTTTCAGATTAATGCTAATGACCAACTATGGAAAGCTTTGAAAAGAATATTACGATATGTTAAAGGTACTGTAAATTATAAGTTAAAATATGTTAAAAATAATAATAGTTTACCTCTTATTGGTTATGCAGACGCTGATTGGGCTAGAGATACAGATAGGAAGTCAACCTCTGGTTTCGTGCTTAAAGTATATGATAATACAGTTATTTGAAAATGAAGAAAACAAAGTACTATATCACTCAGTACAACGGAAGCAGAATTTGTGTCGTTATGTGAAGCTTTAGTGGAAGCATGTTGGATTAAAAAATTGTTATTAGAATTGAATATCGACACAGATACTGTAACCATTTTTGAAGATAATCATAGTACAATAAAATCAGTTCGTAATAGTGACCAAAAGCGATTAAAGCATATGGATATTAAGTATAACATTGTGAAACAAAAGGTTGAAGAGGGTGTTATAAGTGTAAAGTATATTTGT